AGGCCCCGTAAGTGTTTCAATTCGCTGAGTTCGTTTTGAACCCCCACAAGTTGAATGTATATTAAACAGATACTTGCAATAACCCCTAGCAACAGAATGACAAGAAGTGACGTAACTATATCACGCCCTCTATCGGTAGAGTGGTGCTGATCAGTTTTCATTTCCCCTTTTTTCTTTATTGTGCCCTGATCTTTTATTATAAATATTTACACCAACTTTATCGTGACATTTCTTTACCGAATAAATGACCTATTTTGATATGCATGTGGACTAATCCTACTAAAATGTAGCGTGTGGTTAAGAAGAATGACTTTCGAATTCTAATTGAAAGATTTAAAGACAACATGTACAAAATGACCCTTAATCGAATTAAAATATTTTCAGTTTGTTCTACAATCTTAAATAAGACGGTCTTTCTCAGATAAACAGCGCATGTGACCTTATACAATCACATCAATTTATGCGCTTGAAAAGTACTATTCAAGTATAAAATCAAATTGTCATGAGAGCGTAACTATTATTTTAACTATACTTTACAAAAAATAATTATCCAGAACTAGTATTGGCTTAAAAACTATCCTAAAGAGACAATATATAATATTGGACATTTCTTTAATACGAACATTCTCTATTTTCCTTGAAGCTTTCATTATCGTCATTTAAAATGCTCTTCGTATTCGTGACGAGATAAGAAGTTTACTAACGATTGACACACTGTTGGTCATCAAGGCTAAACATTCTGACCGGATTTCACAAACGTGACGGTGAGTATTTTCTATTTATGCATTATGTAAACAAATGAATGAAAAATGCAATTGATTAGTATTATTTATACTAATATCAAGAAATACAATGAAGCAGAGGCAAAAATTGACAGTACATAATGGTAATTTTGGTCTTTTGTCTTTTTCTTCACTATCGATAGCGTTCAAAGAAAAAGTCTGTCACTGACATTTTGAAACATTTTTCCTTTTCAAGAAAAACTGCACAATGCATGTACTGGGTATCATGATTTACGAGGATACGTATGTTAGAATTTTGCATGAAATATGGAGATTGATTGATTGATTGTTTATTGTTTAACGTCCCTCTCCAGAATATTGCACTGATATGGAGACGTCACCATTGCCGGTGAAGGGCCGCAAATTTAGGCCTATGCTCGGCACTTACGGCCTTTGAGCAGGGAGGGATCTTTATCGTGCCACACCTGCTGTGACACGGGACCTCGGTTTATACGGTCTCATCCGAAGGACCGCCCCATTTAGTCGCCTTTTACGACAAGCAAGGGGGCACTGAGGACCTATTCTAACCCGGATCCCCACGGGGCGAAATATGGAGATAACGAACAATATTTTAGCTCAAAAGTCCAATAAACAATAAAATTCGGTAACAGAGTAAACACGGACCTCTGTATAAACATCAGAGGTGGGATCAGGTGCCATGGAGGAGTGAGCATCCCCTTCCGACTGGTCACACCTACTGTGTGTTTCTTGTCATGTTCGGGAATTAAATAACGGAAGAAACTGTCGTCACTTCATTTTTTAAATAATGCGCTAACAATTAGAATGAAAAACATCAGTCAGCGTTTGACTTAACGATAAATTGTATTTGCTGACAAGGTTTTTGTACTATACTAAAAGATTTATAAGTACAACAGTAAACTTTTGAGCTCTGCTATTGTGAATTGTTAAATTGATGCAAATGATTGACGTAAGCGCATTAAAGTCTTGTCAATGAATCCATAGATAAGATTCTTATGTAATGACAATCCTAAACAATGATATCAATAACTGAATTCCTACAGAATTCAGTTAATTTCTCAACGCCTGCGATACATGTTTGTAATTACTACTGACGAATTTGCTTAAATAAAAAAGTACATCGCGAGTGCATTTAAAGAACGGTATATGTACATTTTGTTAGAAATAGGCACACATTTTTGTTTTTGTGGCATAGATTCAAATGATTAATGTAATTTCTTTTCTTCAAATGATGTTATTTGATGTTTTCAATATTTCAAAATCAATTTCTGTAGATTTCTATTTTCTGTAACGTTTCTGTAAGATTACTATAAAAGTCTTTTTCATTGCATTATCTCTGCTGAAAACAATGGATTTTATTTTCCTCACAAAAAAAAAAATTGTACACAAAAAGTAGAATTTAATTTATAAACCTTTTAGATCTCTTTTGAATGAAAACATTGGTACCTGAAAAAAAATTGCACGTAAAGTATATGATTTGTACAACTGTAGGTCATATGACTGTGTTAAAGTTATATTACTTGTACAATTGAAATATGCATTCTTCTTTGTAGAGACAGAATGCTAAACATTTTAGTTTTTCTCTGCATTCTTGAAGGAGGTAAGTACGAGTAAGTATATAATTATATCATGTACAAAAATTAACATCGATGTTGGTTTAATTCTAAATTTCTAACAATTTTATTAAAGAAAGCACTTGATAAAAATAGTAAAAGAAATGAATGAAAATTAAAGAAATATATATTCAACACATTGATTTTAAGAAGAAACTGGTAAATCTAAATATAATAATGTAATATTATTTTATTATTCAATGTGTAAAAACAAAATAATTTGTCCATATAGACAACTCACAGAAACATAGAAGGATAAAAGGATTGAGGATACATGTACGATATAGGTCAAGGCAAATATACACCTTAGATAAAGACCCGTGAATTTGTAGTGCAGTCAAGAAATTAGGATAATTCAAAGTGTATAATTTATCAACTTGCAGAAGTGTATGTGATATAACCATTTTTCAAAAATGTAACATTATCTTTAGGTCTTTGTTATACCAAATGAAATTCTATTTCCTGCAAATTGAAGATCAATCAGTAGTAACAAAACACAAATTATACCCGTACCGTGTAGTTATGAGTTGTATTTTACTAAATCACATTAGAACCCGGATCTCAAAGACATATTTCTTGGCAATATGTGAAATTTTCTTGACGAGGAACATTAAGTTTCTCACTTTTCACATAATTAATTTTACTAAAAACAATCTGATTTTTCAACAAAAACATTTATTACCCATAACCATCAATAAATTTGAAATATTTTCCCTCCTACACGCTAATCTTCATTAATAACTTCAGATATACATGTACATGTATTTCTTATTATTTTTAGAGTCCTGTTGACCATATTTTTTGCGTTACTGCTGAAATAACCTTTTACGTTACAGCGATGATTGTAGTACTTTCACTTTACATCCCTGTACACTTTTGCTTAACAACCATAAATGTTCACTTTGGTTTTACCGCCCTGTTTGCCTTTGTTTTGCAGTCATTCAGGTCTTCCGTTTCCAACGGAAGACCTTCTACTGATTCTGATGATTAAGATTATTAAGGTCTTCCGTCTTCAGCAGAAGACCTTATTGTTTTTCTTAAGTTTTTTTTCCACTATTTTTCTTCTTATTATTTTTTTCTTACCGATTTTGTGCACGCGAGTTCTCGGAAACGGCTCGATGGATTTTCATGAAACTTTCAGGTCTGATAGAACATCAAAAAATCTAGATCCGTTTTTTTTTTATTTTGATGACGTCACTTTCGGTTTGGAGATTTTCACAATTTTGTCATTTTTAGATGGTCACTTTGTCCGGCAATGTTCTCAAAAATCGTTGAAGATAGAAGTATGAAATTTTCAGTGATGATAGAGCAATCTCTGGAGAAGTGAATTGAGTATATCATTGTCACCGGAAGTACGAAACCCCCCCCAGGTCCAAAAATAGTCCTATCACGAATTTAAAAAATCTTGACACCTTTTCAACGATAACTTTTTACCTAGAAATATTTTGTTAAAGCATGTATAACAAAAAAGGTATAGAAATAAAAATTTAAAAGATATCTCGAAAAAAGGGCTGGCTCTTAAATTAAAGGGGCCTAAGGGGGAAAGTTTTTTCTTTATATCCAAAAAGTATTGAGAATTTGTAATATGTCAAAGAAGCAAAGTTGTTTGAAATATCAAGCTCTATCTAATGACATCGTCAAAATACGTCCGGCGTCGTCACTTCCGGCCGAACCGGAAGTAGTCGCAAAACACGTATTTTTGCCGTTCTTTACAAGTTTTTGGGAAACAATTCCGGTCCATAAAAATTAATTTTCCGTCCGTCGTCGTCACTTCCTGTCAAACCGGAAGTAGCAAAAAATGGCTTATTTTTGCATTTATTAACATAGCTTTAGAGGATTCAAAACATTTAGGGTTATTTTTTCATTTTTGTTAAGAATAAAGCTACTTCCGGTCAAACAGGACGGAAGCCCCTTCTTTGCTTTGCAACGAGCTTTGCTCTAGTTCTTATTATTTTTTTTTTTTCCTAGACGCCAACTTTGAAGCTTCTTTCTTCCTCATTCCTGAACGGATTTTGTTCAAATTTTCAGAGTTTTTAGTTTCCCCCAAACCCCTTTTTAAATATTGTTACATAATTCGGAAATTACCTTTTTTTAAATTATTGCCCTTTGACTGAATTTTTTTTATACCTCTGTATTCCAGACAAAGGCTCAGAAAAGGTAATAACTGGAGCACAAAACCCTTTTGAAATTAAAAAGAGGAAGCATTGAAGTTGTGCACATCGATTTTTGCTTTTTGATTTTTGCATTTAAAATGGCGCTAGAGAGGGGTCAAAAATTAGAACGCGGAAAACAGCAAAAAATTGGACATATTTTCCTTTATACCTTGAAAACTAAAAATATTTTGTTAAGACATGTAGAAGAAAAGCTGTGCATAATTGCAAGAGCTTTCATTTGATACTATAGAAAAGGGGCTGGCCCCTAAAATTAGGGATTTATGGAGCTTGGAAGTTTTTGCTTTATAACTCAAAAACGGTAAATATTTCGATCTGGATCATGCGGTCAAAATTGTTCTTCAACACCTTTTTGATCTGATGAGAATGTTTATTTGTTCGAATATACCGGGGTTATTGCAAATACACAGTCAAAAGCAGGTCAGGTAACATTAACGCTTTCATCCAGCAAGTAAACCTGACCTCTTCATGTGTAAAACTTAAAAACTTGCTATAACTAATATACCTTACGGTATTCATTGTAAATTTTCTTCTTAATAATTTTTTTTTAATTCTTTATGGTTCACTATTTAATTATAATTTCATTACAAACATGTAGGCTTTCTTTTTTTTTCAATTACTTTTATAGTGTTCAAAAAAACGGAGGATATTAAATCTATTTTCTACGTTTATTATTACAGCAAACTATATATTAAGTAATTTTAAACTTTAAGCATCGAAAATTCACGATCGTTAACTGTATGCTTTATACAATCTTCATGTTCACTTAATGTTTAAAGTTATGTAACCTAACGCGCCGATCCCACGTTGTCGATCGAGGTCACCAGTATACAAACTACCAGTGGACATAAACAAAGCAAGTGCATGTATCGGCATGGTTTAAGATCCATTGTGTACATTACAAAGAAATATTAATTACTGAATTTTAATCATATCGAATCTATAGATTACTTGCCCATCTTTTTTTTAATCTTCAAGTAAATTTCCCAAAACACTGGTGCATAAAATCATTTTCTATTTTAATCGCTTTCTTGACCTATTTACGTGCCTATAAATTTCAAAACTAAAAAAAAAAATATTTCTCTATCCCGTGTTATTGTACTTCACTTCATTTGTAATTAAAAAGGGGCTTCGGCAAGTAATACCGGGGTAGTTGTGGAAGTCTTGATATACTTAAAAAAAATTTTACTTTTATTTTTACCATCGGTCTCTTGTTTCTCCATTTAATTTTTTTTGATTAATAGTAAATAAACTTCAACACAATAAATACTTCAAAACATACAATAATTCACGCCTATGTATTAGCAAACAGTTTACATCCACCTCTGTCGCCTTGTGTCTAAAAGTTTTGCACCCAGTCCTCGTTCACACGTGCGTGGCCGCGGGCATGTCGGTGTTAAAAATACATCGTGTACTTCGATAGTTAAAATGGAAATTGGCTTTGAAATCATGTCGACGCTTTCATATTATTTTATTTCCCCATATATCTAGTTGTTTTAATAAATCGTAACCGCTTGTGCATTTATCAATTTTTATGCCTCATGACATGTGTCATGATAATTGAAGTGCATATGGAAGTGATGTTTCCAATTCAGGGGAAAAACCCCAAAATTAAATTGAGCTCTAAGTCTTTTGAGTTTGCAGCTCTTTGCAACTAAACTTAAAATGTTATTGTTTTCGTTGAATACACGGAATAGATCAATTGCACGATTTTACGGGTATATGCTTTACATGAAAGTATAATTATAACATGTATGCACTTTTACATAGAAAAGCGGCCAAAATATATGCATCCCGGGCTTTCAAATACGATTTTAGAAAAATTAGAAAACTTCATAACTGTCTCATCTCTACTTAATATCAATTAAATTCTTTTCTTACTTATTGTATTTCTGTGTATTTGAGGTACATGTACCTAAATTTTTGGGTTCGCTCTGATATAGGGTTATTTTTAATAACGGTAACCTACTTCTGGTTAGTCACTGACCCAAAAGTCAATGGTTGATTTGTTTAATTATGTGTGTACTGGATTATCATTATATCGCGGGTTTAATTGTATGGGGATATCTTGCAAAAATTCGAATACATAGAGAAATTTTTTTTTTTGTTGACGGACAATTTGTATGTTGTCTCAATGTTTACTTTTTATATGATTAAAAAGTGTGGACCGTCTGTTTAAAAAAAAAAATTCAAATAAAACGTAATATTACAGATTTCCAGTTCCGTTTTTCTTATATTTAGACCATTAAATTTATAACATTGTAAAAATTAGAATCAAGTTCATCTTTAAAAGTTTTTTAATTAGATTGTACAGTTGTTTATTTTCATGCAGAATTAGAAGGTAAATTCAAAAATAAAAACTGAGGTCATATCATGTACAAGTTACCATGTACTCCCATACCGTGAAACAATGAGACTCTCCAATGTAATAGGTAAATTAGACTTCCTGTTTTTAAAATTGTCCACAAGTTAAATGATGCAAACTTGGAAAAGAAATTGACACATATAATTTGAAATAACACTTTTTATGCAAAAGAATTAAGTACCGCGATATATTGAGACACCAGTATACATGTAGGTTGGGGCTGGTATTGAATTCCAAGAGAAAGTCACAACCATTTTCCTGCATCAAAATATTTTGACTTTGACCTTTCCTTTGAACTTGACCTAATTTAAAAAAAATTTTTAAAGAAACCATTCAAATATATAATAAATTCCTGTGCCGATATGTATTGATATGTGCAAATGTACAAGGCTACACGTATGTAACTGCATCAAAATTTTTTGTACCCTTCCTTTTACCTTAACCTAACTTT